ACATGTACAATTATGCAAAGAATGGAAAAGAAATCCCAACCTTGTCGTGACCTAATATAGAGATGTGTGTAGAATATATAGGGACCACAAAGTCTGAGAGAGAGGGAGAGAGAGAACCGTAACTTGGCTTGTAATGAAGAAATTAAAAAATTGCTCAAAAGTTGTAACTCCATGTGAATTCACCTTCGCGCCCTAACCTAACACCCCAATAAATATCTTTGGAGTTGTTCCCATCCACAGCTCTTAATTCAACAATCTGCCTTTATAAAAAGCCCTGCAGCTTTTTGATTAAAATATCGCTCCCTATATTAATTTTGCAATACCCACTTGTCTGTGATTATTCAATGAGGCAGCCTCCACTTGGCATTTCCGACGCATTCATTGCGAACTAGCTCTAGGCCCTTCATAATTTGAAACTAGTGTGGCTTGTGTTCTTCCTAGCTCATGAATAATGTAAATTTATAGAAGATTTATATTACATGTCAAGGCATTGATTGATCAGTAGTCACGCCATTATAAACTATAGTCATTTTTTGTCCCTAAATATGAATTAATCCTGAGGGATTCTAACTTACTTATTCTGATCTGAATCTAGGACTAGGAGTAGCCCGTAAAAAATTTAATTGAGCGGATTATTTATCAATATTGTTTAATGATATGTATTAATTTCTCTAAAATATTCCTTTGTTAAATCAATTTAATTCAGTCAACTTTGTGGGGGAAAAAGTTGTGCAATTAATAAAGACAGCAGGAAAAAAATAATAATGTTTTTTTTTGCATTCATAGTGCTGGCGACCTGGCGCGCGTTGTCAATCAGGAAGGCGTCTACTTTTCTGACCCAAAACTAACATTGGCTAATTTTGCACCAAGCATCTTTTTTGACAAGAACACCAAGGCATTCAAAGTCACCCGCCCAAGCCCCAGAGAAACTATGGCTTGCTTCTCTATCCTAAATTACCTTCTCAATTTCAATAATAGTCAGGCATTCAAAGTCCAAAATTTTCCAGATTGTGTTCCATTTTTCCTGACGGTAATAGTTTGCAGGTTTGACTAGGTGATGAGACGTCACCACTTGCAAGTTGCTGTTGCCAAAAAAAAAAATAAAAATATAAAAAGAATCGAATCTATAATCTCTATCTAGAAACCAATGCCGTAGATCGAACATTTTGACCGCAATCAATCAGACAATGAATAATTGTGCGTGACGGCCATAGATATGCTCCTCAAAATTCCCCAGTCGCCCTAAGGCGAACTCAAATCCGCTGGTCAAGGCTCAAATACAGAGCCAATCTCAGTGAGAGGCTTGAAGGGCCCCCACCAAAGCGGCATCTTCCCTTTGAACTTGATGCAATTATTATCATACCGCACTAACCACTAACTGTTCCCGTGATATCCACATTCCCATAAAGCGCAAACCCATTCCAAACTTCGATATGCTTACCTCCTCCGTTTGGTTGACCCCCTCTTTTTTTTAACTCTCTCTTCCTGACCACTTCGTCCGTCTTCCTCCTTCCTTATCCTCTTTCCCTTTCGGTATTCTGCCCGTTTTGCTCGCTGCCCTGGGCTCTGTTGAAGATGCTTTACTCTTCTTTTCTCTGCCGGACTCAATTTCTTCTTCTTCTTCTTCAGCTCAATGCCGCTTCAGATGCTGACGCCCAGTGATTTTCTCCACGTGAGTGGTAGGTTTATGCTCTCCCCACAACCCCCCCTTCCTGTCATGGTTTTGAATCTCGGGGATTTTCCTTTAATTTTAGGAGCTTCCTTGCTTTATTAGCCTCAGTGACTCTAAAAAGGGAGAAAAAATCGGAATTTTGAAAATGGGTTTGGTACCCGTGAAGGCTCTTAGCGTCACTGAGTGTAGATCAATGATTCGTGAATTTATCTTCTGTTTTTCTCTGTTCCTTTACTGCCAAAACATTTGGGGTAGCGATTATCATTACCGCTTCTAAATTGAGATAATATTTCCTCTATACTGTCTATGGATTTTATCTTGCCTTTTTATGTTTCACAATCACACTCGATATCTACCGAAATCTAGTGATGTATGTACCTTGCTATGGAATTGCGTAATGGATGTGTTTTCACCGTCTGATTTGTGTGTACGTACTGAATTACATTCAGGTTACTAAGTTTATCCTGTTAGTTGCATTGGATTGGGCATTTCAATGGGGGGCGAAACGGCGAACGGGTCATGGTTCAGCGTATTTTGGCCTGTCTCTCGCAAGACTGCTCTTGACAACAAGGCGTCAATCGGAATTTTGGCATCAGAAGTTGCCAGCTTGATGCTAAAAGTAGTCAATTTGTGGCGTTCTCTGAGTGATGTGGAGGTAATGAGTCTGAGAGAAGACATTATAAATTCAGTTGGGCTTAAGATTCTGGTGTCTGGTAATGATGATTTCTTAATGGAACTTGCATTGAATGAGATGCTTGATAATTTTGAATATCTCGCAAGGTCTGTGGCCAGGTTGGGTAAAAGGTGCACTGATCCGGTATACCATCGTTTTGAACATTTTGTTGATAACCCGGCCCAGTATAGCTTTCAATGGTCTGGATGGGAATATAAATCTAAAAAGATGGAGAAGAAGGTTAAAAAAATGGAAAGATTTGCTGCTGCTATGACACAATTGTCCCAAGAGCTCGAGGTCCTTGCTGAGCTTGAACAAACATTCAGGAGAATGCAGGCAAATCCTGAGCAGAGCCGAGTAAAATTGCTTGAGTTCCAGAAAAAGGTCGCATGGCAGCGCCAAGAAGTGAAAAATCTAAGACACATGTCTCCTTGGAATAGAAGTTATGATTATATCGTCCGGTTGCTGGCAAAATCACTCTTAACAGTACTTGAGAGGATCATACATGTTTACGGAAATAGTCATCTGTCAACTCAGCAACAGAATGATTGTCCAGACATGGATGCTAGTCATCTTCCACGCAGCCTTTCCTTTTCTGTTCCAACCCATTCTTCTTTTAACTCATCGTATAATCAGTTTCATGGATTTCATTCAGAACCACTTGGAAGCATGCCAGTGTCGAACTCAGACTCTGTAACTGACAAGAGCAAAAGAGCAAACACGCTTCAACAAGCTCTTAATGCAACTGCCTTACGTGGAAAGCATCTTCGTTCAGCAAGCAAACAATTAGCTCATATTGGTCCCTTCAAAGGATGCATGTGGGTAGGAAATGAGTCTCCTGTTGTACAGAGCTGCATGCCAACAACTGGAGGTTCTATGAGGTTGAATGACTGCCATATGAAAAGTGTTGATAAAATGAACTTGTGGATAAATTATCTCTCTCTTGTAGGAATAGAATATATTCTAGATTATCCATCAAAGGTCGATTAAAGCCAGCTCCAATTACCCTTGGCGATTCTGCTTTGGCTCTTCATTATGCAAACGTTATCATATTAATAGAGAGAATGGTATCATCGCCTCAGTTGGTTGACCTTGAAACCAGAGATGATCTGTATAATATGTTACCAGCAGCTATGAGAAGTGCTCTGAGAGCTAAGCTAAAGTGGTGCACCAAAAATAAGGATGCTTCTATCTATGATGCTAATCTTGCAGAAGGATGGATACAGGCACTCGCGCAAATGCTAGAATGGTTGGCTCCACTCGCTCATAACATGATAAAATGGCATTCTGAGAGGAATTTTGAGAAGGAGTATACCACTTCAAGAGCAAATGTTTTACTTGTCCAAACGCTTTACTATGCGAACCAACCAAAAACTGAAGCTGCAATGATAGAGCTTCTTGTTGGCCTGAATTATGTATGCAGGATAGATAGAGAAATTGGCAGAAGAGATACGGCTGAGTTTGGTGGTGCTAGATCTTGTAATGGTGTTTGTTTGGGAAAGAATGATATCTGTAATGAATATGCTTAGAGTTGGACAGTGACAGTGTAGTCCTCATGGCTCACAGGAAGGTGTGATCGGCATTGTATAGCTCTCATTGCAAATGGGAGGGTAAAGGATTTGCCGTTCAGCACTTTTAGGGCTCCGACATGTTGAAGCTCAGGTTACGTTTCGTTGTATCATTTAAGACAGCGTATGTACATGCATTCAGATACAATCTTACATGATTCCAAGCGAAAGAGGGCTTCTTTTAATATCACTTTAAAGCATTTGATCCCCTTCTTAGTTCTGCAAATAAAAGCAAATTAATTTTTTCCAAGCAAGAATGTATTATAGGGTAAAAAGGCGTTACTCCTTGTGAAGTTTGTTCAATGATTACATGCTGCAGCTTTAGACCCCATCCCATTGAAGTTCAATATGTACAAATACTGACAAAACTTCTAAGCGCAGCTTAGAAATTAAAACAATGCACTCGCTGTTCAGAGTTTTGTGGAATTTGAATAAAAATCCTATAGGTATTAGGTAACCCTCTTGTATAGAGGAGGTGCGGCCAGAGACTAAAGCGTCCAGAAATGACCATCATTTATCAGTAATTGTGAAACCAACCAAACAACCAACCGTACAAATGGTGCCAAGATAGTATCATCAAATGACAACAAAATATCATTGGGAAAAAAAAAAAAAAACAGCACGCAAACTACTAAATCCAGAGGTGTAAAGGTCCATTGCAGCAATCTTTATTCAGTCTCTCTGCTCCGATCCACACCTTACAAGCAAAATAGTATGAAAAATAAAAACAGTGAGATAGATTCTCACCTTATAATCTCATGCCACACAGGTCAATATAGTGGAGAACTAATCTGGAGCTGTTCTTCTTTATGTCTTCTTCACCGCGCTTCCTTTTCAATTCAGCTTATTTGCTTTGAGAATCATTTTCCTCCCATCATGGTTGGGCCTTGAAAATCTAGTTCTTGCAAACAAGGAAGTTAGATATTGAAAGAATAGCATATTAAAATCAAAAGGGTTTGGGTTTGGGATACCTTATTATACTGTCCCCATATGTTACATCTCAAAATAGCAGCAACAGAAAATAGCTGCTGGCGAACAAGGGCTTTAAAGCATCGAAAGGAGCTCTTCCCCATGGGAGTAAGGGTGTATGCGGACCTGCGATGTGGCGTATGAGACAACCTTCTTCCGCGAATCCGAGCACTTCCTCTTAAAAGCTCTTAGGGCACAGCTGTAAGCGGAAAGGCCACAAGGCAAAGGATCAATTACAAGATTAATTTAAATCAACCATCCAGAATCATTCTAAAACATTCAAATGAACCCAGCATCAGTGATCTTGAAAACAAATAGGTCAAAAATCCCCCAAGTGTCGCTCGCAAATATTGTTTGTTCGGGCTCTGATACCAAACATAATGTTCCCAGGTCCTGTCGTAGCCACCTCAGGTATCACTTGCAAATATTATCTGCTTTACTGCAGTCATAGGCACCCCCAGGTGTCGCTTGCAGATATTGTCCGTTTTGGCGTAGCTGCAGCTATCTCATGATTTTATTTCCTTGTGTGCAGCCGTAGCCACCTAAAAAACGCGTCTACGAGGAAAAGGTATCACACCCTTATAAGGCGTGCTTTGTTCTCCTCTCCTACAGATGTGAGACTTCACAATAACACTAGTGGAGGAATCTTGGGCTAATAAAAACACGGCATGAATGTCGTCCTCTTTTCTTCATCTCCTCACGAATGCAATACAGCGTCATCTTGTTCTGAGCAACATGATGGCGCAGAGCCATACCAGAGAAATGATAAGCGGCTGGAGGAATTTACAGGTGGCGGAGACAATAATCGGAGAGAGCAAGGCAAAATGGAGAAATGATGATAGGTGGCGAGGCAGAGGTGAAGAGTTTTAAGAAGTCGTTCCTGCCACCCAGGGCTTGTTTGGATCAACGTTGCAAAAGTGCTTATAAGTATTTTCACGCAAGCTGAGAAAAAACTCATTTCACATACTTACCTCGTATTCCGTAAATCACATTTGAGAAGCTATTTATAAGTTATTCCAAACGAGCCCTTAGTCATTATGAGTTAGTTAGCTGGCTTCTTGTTCCTGTTTCCTCCTTCTTCCTACAGTTTCTTTGTTCTTTATTATTATTATTATTATTATTATTTTTTGGTGTTTGGCGACTACACATTTAATAAATTCTGTTGCGGCTTAGGAAGAAAAACGTCTATTTCCATGAGAATGCAAATAAGAATAATGCCTCTGATGTATGAATATATTAAAATATTTTTATTTATTTTTAATTATTAAAATAAAATTTTAAGTCTATTTAATAAGAATGGTATTTAATTTTAATTTCCACGTGGCGCGGCGTCTACTGCTCCTCCAACGGTCGAGTCGTCGCCTTCTCTCTCCCTTCCCTCAATCTCCGAGGAACGATTGGCTCACTGTCATCGCTTGCGCGCCTTTGCCTCCTTGACCTCCATGATAGTCGTTTAAACGGCAGCACTGCGCCGGTCTCCAACTACACCCGCCTCAGGATCCTTTACCTCTCTCACAACGACGTCTCCGGCGAGTTTCCGTCAGGAATTGCTTCTCTTAAGCATCTACTGAGGCTTGACCTTTCTGACAACAACATCCACGGTCCCATTCCCAACCAACTCTCTTCCTCAGTTCACCTTCTCACGCTTCGTCTACAGAACAATGTGCTCTCTGGGCAAGTTTCGGATCTCTCTGTTCCGCTCGTTAATCTCCCAGACGTCAATTTCACCAACAACGAGCTCTACGGAAGCTTACCCGATGGGATGTTGAAGAAATTCGGCGACAGAACCTTCTCTGGGAACGAAGCTTTGTGTGGCTCAGCCCCATTCCCAATTTGTTCCTTCACAGACAGCCCTTCTTCTGCATCACCATTGGACGCAACCTCCTAGATTCTATCAATCTCGTCCTTTACCAATGCCTTTTTCCTTCACTCGCCCCCCCATGACCCCCCCCCCCCTTTTTCTCTGTTTATACTAATCCGTGCAAATAAAAGCAAATTAATTTTTTCCAAGCAAGAATGTATTATAGGGTAGAAAAGGCGTTACTCCTTGTGAAGTTTGTTCAATGATTACATGCTGCAGCTTTAGACCCCATCCCATTGAAGTTCAAAGCAGGCTTGAGAACTGATATGTACAAATACTGACAAACTTCTAAACGCAGCTTAGAAATTAAAACAATGCACTCACTGTTCAGGCTTCAGACGCAACGAAGTTTTTGGAAGTTTTGTAGAATTTGAATCAAAACGCTATAGGTATTAGGTACACAACTAGAGACAGGAATATCCGATTTATTTTATACAGCGGCATGTCCTTTGTGAGGAACTGGGATGACTCGGAGGGGAAGAGCCTTCCTTAGCGTGATTCCCATTTTCTCAGTCATGTCCATATCCTGGGCCCTAACCCGATCCGCTAGAACCCAATCAAAAGCGTGCAAGATCGAGCCTAGAGCCAAGGGAAGCACACGAGACGCAAGCGGTACCGCAGGGCACATTCTTCGTCCTGAGCCAAATGGTATGAACTCGAATTGGTGCCCCTTGTAGTCCATCTTGTTTGCCTCCATGAACCTCTCTGGCCTGAACGTTAAGGGGTCTTCCCAAGAATTCGGATCCCGCCCGATTGCCCAAACGTTCACAAGAACTTGGGTCTCTTTTGGGATGTGATAACCTAACATCTTGCAAGAGTCCATGGCCATGTGAGGCACCAAGAAAGGAAGAGGTGGGTGAAGTCTCAGCGTCTCCTTGATCACTGCCTTAAGATAAGGAAGGTCCTCTATGTCCTTCTCCTCCAGCTTCTTGTTTAGTTCTAGTTTGCTCCTCAGCTCAGCCTGCACTTTCTGAAGAGTTTTTGGATTGTGTAACAGCTCGGCCATCGCCCACTCTAGTGTGCTTGTAGTCGTGTCTGTTCCCGCAGTAAACATTTCCTATACATCCAAATTTTGTTATATAGTGTCATCAATCGATAATAGTCACAGTAATTAATTAGGAAGAAAAATAGCGAGGAACTTACGAAGACAATCACATTAATAGTCCTTGGAGAAAAACTATAGGTGCCTTTGACTCCTTCTTCACGAAAGTCCAGCAACACGTCTAAGAAGTCTTTTTTTCTCTTGTCATGATCTGCACATTGGCAACTGCCTCTACAAGTCTCCATCCTTTCTCTGATGAAGCAGCCGGCAATCTCAAAGGCTCGCTTTATGTGAGACTGGGACTTCCTCTTTATTCCCTGAGGATCAAACCACCTCAAAAATGGCAAGAAATCTGCAGCATTTGGCTTCCCAGCCAACTCCATCACCTTCCCCGCGTGATAAAAGAATTTTTGCCCTCTCTCTGATTCAGGGTCCAGCAAGTCCTTTGAGAATATGAGGTTCCCAATGAGATTAAAAGCCATTAAGAAAAAAAACCTCCCAATATCAATAGAGGCACCACCAGCACCGGCTTCTTCAATGAAGTGAACCATACGGTCTATGCACTTCCTGCGAACCCCTTGCATGGCGTCTAACCGGCTCGTGACGAAGAACTCGGTGGTGCTCAGGCGCCTCAGCATCTTCCAGTGCGGGCCGTATTGAGACGTTATGAGAGAACCCTCGTGGCCGTAATCATCTTTCATAGCCTCATATATCTTCCTGCCAGCCAGAACCATGTCGTGGTTCTTGAACATGTCCCGAGCCACTTGGCTAGAGGATACGACCACGGTGCACATGGACCCTAACCAGAGGGTCATGATTGGACCATGCTTACGAGCCAGTTGGGCAAAGGACTCGTGCGGTGACCAACCCAGTTGGAAAATGTTGCCAACCACAGGCCAAGACGTTGGTCCAGGTGGAAGCTGAAGCTGAAACCCCACGTTAGTTTCCACCGGCTTCCGCTGCTTTCCTTCCAAAACCCAACTGCCCACCCAAAACAGCATAGCTAGGATCAAACCCACAATCATATATTCCATGACGATACTAAAGATTTTAGCAGTAAATTTTTTTTTTTTTTGATCAACTGATTTTGTTCATGGAGGTGCTTCTTATATAGTCGTACCTGCTTTGGCCAGCTAAAACGTACAAACTGATGTTTGCTTTGGTGCTAACGTACAAGTGTACAAAATATATAATGCATGCTTTGTTCAAGTTATATTGTCAGTTTGTTTGTTGAGCATCTCTTTTTCTTTATGTTAGTGTGATGCCATTTTCATCAGGAAGCAGTTGGGTTAAATCAGAGATGAAGACACGAGCCGGTCTCGAGCTACCCAGCCAAATTCTATACTTCTTTAATTGGCTTATTTTCTGTCTTTCGTGAATTGCTTCTTCAAAGAGTAGAGATTATACGGTTTTATAAATTCATTTATTATTTTATTTGCTTTCGATGTACGTACAAAATAATATTTTTCATTTAGTTCCTTTATCTGTATAATATATATATAGGGATAAAGTGCTTAAATACTCTAAAAGTATCTACAAAAAAGCATTCAGTACCTGAATTTTTTTTTTTTTGCTCTTATATGCTCTGTAAGTTTTATTTCCCAGTATTTTTGTCATGAATCGTTATTCGCTGTTAAGTTTAATCATTAAAGGCATTGCATAATTTAACAGTCAAACCCTATATATTTTTGCTATGAAAATGAACTTTTATGGCATATAATAACTAAAAAACTTTTTAGGTGTTGAGTGCGCTTTCATGAATATTTTTAGGATATTCAAACACCTTATCCCTTATATATAATTTTATTTTGAGGAGGCAATAGTCAATTATACATTCCGATTGCACTAATTATGCTGCTAACCATAAAACACTCTTGTGAAGTTATGAGGATACTAGGATAATATATAAAAATGAAAATGAAATGTTAACTACGACCCTGGTACTTAATCTAAATCTTGTTTGATTTTTATTTTGATCCTAAATATAAAATCTTAATCCACTATGTCTCTCATATTTATCTATTTCTTCCTAAGATAATCCTTCTAATAATGATAGTTCTAACTAATAAATTTAATTAGCAATAATATTTTATGAAAGATAACACCTATTTATTACAAATGACTAACTTAATTTATTTTCTTAATTTACTTAAATTAGTCAACTAATTTATATATTTAGAACCGGAAGTAATATTTGATAATAACTATACCATGATTTAATTTGTGATATACATTTAAATTTAGATTCATGGTATCATGACCAACTTATTATACAGGTCAGTCTCAAATCGTGTGGACCAGGTAATTTATTAAGGATTGCTAATGCAACTTCAAAAGATTTTATAAATGGCATAATACTATGTATTACAGGGGACCATGTATTTCAGGATCACTTATAGGGACCATTTTGGTGTTTATTTAACGTTAATTTCGATACTACCTCCGGTCCTTAATATAAAATTTTGTTTGATTTTTATTTTGGTCCTAAATATAAGATCCTACTTCACTTTGTCTTTTATGTATTTTTTTTCCAATATAGTTTTTCAACAATAGTAGTTCTAATCAATACATTTGATTAGCAAGGATATTTTAGAAAAGACAACACATATTTATTATAAATAATTAACTTAACTTCTTTCATTAATTTTCTCAAATTAGTCATTGACTCTTATAATTAGAACTGGATGTAGTATCAATTTATCGCATTATATATAAAAATCTCCGAGAGTCCAAGCATTCCCCACAAAATCATAATATTATCATATATAAATCGTATCATCCTCAAATGCCCCCGCCCACAAGGATGTCATAGAATTTTGGGGATTCGTGGAAGACGACATTAGCCATTCATAATACTTGACTATAATTATATAATTCAATGATAACATTTTAAAATCCTGCATTATTGACACTCAACTTTTCTCTCCAATTATTTAGATTTAGCTCCGATATGGGTTTTGTCTCTTTAACTCAGTCTTCTAAAATTTTATCTAATTATTATTTACACATATATTATATTAAATCTCGATTAAGTTTTTTCAAATAAAATATTTGGGTTCATGGTTTTTAATACCTCCTCTGTCCTTGTTAGAATTAAAACTATACACATGCCATTCGCCATATGAACCCTATACCCTAGTATAGTTTATAAAAATAATCGCAGTCAACTGAGACTAGTCTTTCATGGGATATTAAAAGTAAAGAGCAGTTGATGTTTACTCAGTTTCACCATACAATTTAGTGACCAGTAAACAAATGTCTTTGGTACTAAATTTTGATTTTATGTTTAGTAAAAAAAATCACAGGCAATATACAATAAAAATAATAAAATTTTTATATTCAATTCCCAACCAATAAAATATAAATTTAATTTTAATAATGATAACTGCATCTGTGCCGATTATTAACTGTTAACCTATTGATTATTTAATAGGTTAGAATCTATTTACTGCATTTTTTGTTATTTGTTAAATAATTCGAAAACAGCTCCCTTGTATATAAATATGCATGCATCTGTATTTAATGTTAATTTACTTTGGATTTAAGTTTATAATCTCATGCATTATGAGCAGGCTCCATATTAACTGGATCAACTCTGTTTTTCCTGATTTTAGGCTTAAAAAATAAGGTTGGTTGTGCTCATCAGGCCACCGGGCTCTTGTTGCCCGACCCAGCTTGATCGTATACAAATAATAGTATTTATAAATTATAAATAACCAAAGAGTTAAGACTTAAGATCGATTGCTCATGAATATGATGATCATCACGTAAAAGAAAACAGCAAAAATGCGGTGATCATAAATTCATAATATTGAATAGTCAAAGTGAAAAAGTCCATAGTGTAAGAACATGAGCTTCACTGGGCCGATTTAAAGATGGGCTGAACATAAATACAGCCCATTAATAATTTAATACTCCTCCGGTCCTTATTATAAGACCCAATTTGACTTTTTATTTGGTCCTAATTATAAGACCCAATCCATTTTCTCTTTTATATTTATGCATTTTTTTCCAAGATAATCCTTCTAATAATGATAGTTTTAGCCCATATACTTAATTAGCAAGAATATTTTAGGAATAACAACACTTATTTATTATAAATAACCAACTTAACTTACTTCCTTAATCTCCTCAAATAAGTCAATTGGGTCTTATAATTAGGACCGGAGGAGTAGTAGTATTCTTTTAGTTTTAAATATAATACCTTTTTTATAATATAATTTATACTACAAAAAATGTTTTATATCTAAGACAGGAGGAGTATATCAAAACAAGAAAATTACAAACTTATCCTGTTTAATAAGCCTAGAACAGTATAGCTTCTTTAGTATTTTGCACAATTATTTATACTCTTGCAATATTTTTGGTACACATTTTAACACCGATGTAAGTAAATAATGGAAAAGTATGTACAATATTTCAAAATTATTATTTGTCCTACACACCGTATGCGCATAAAATTTATTCTTAGCTAGCTAGAAACTTCCTTATCTCCTTAGTTATTTAACGGGTTTATTTCGTTGTTACAATCAGGTTTCTTCCCTTAGGTTGAAATGGTCCCCTAATTATCAGTATTGGATATTCTATTTGCTTATTATGTCAAGATTGTTGATATTTGTTTTATTATTATTATTATTGTTATTATTATTATTATTATTTCATTTTTGAAAGCTGTACCCTATTTTGCTTAAGCTGCCAAGCTGAGGGGTTATCTGGAGTCATGGCATGGATTATCATCATCTTGATGATGTGAATGGAGAAATTTAAAAATGATCTCATGTACCTACATAATACATTCCTTCTTCGTTTTTAAAATATCATTATCAGAGGACCACTGTAGAAAAGAAAAGGAAAGCATTGTGGGGTCTTTGCAAAAGTTGGTTGCATATATTAAGAGGCACGGCCAATGGCTCTCATCACATCATCCCTCACTTTCTTCTCTTCTTCCTTTTTTTTTTTTTAAAAAATAAACTAATTACTCCTCCGGTCCTTAATATAACATTCATTTAACTAATTTGATTAGATTAAAGAAGTTAGGTAAGTTAGTTAATTATAAGAAAAGTGATACATTTTTTTCAAAATACCATAATTATTTTTCTTAATACTCTCTGTCCCTCTTTTACTTGATTATAGGTGAAAGAGTATCTATAGGGATAATTTAGAGAAAATTGATAAATATGAGAGATGGGTTTTATATTTAGGACCAAAACCAACTCAAGAATTGAGCCCTATATTAAGGACCGGAGGAGTATAATATATATTTTTTGAATTGGAAAGAAAGCTAGACTTATTAGTTTCTAGTAATAGAACCCACCACCTCCTTTCCTCTGCAGTCTGCACGAGGATTTTCTTTTCATTTTTAATTTAGAGAAATGGGGATCAACCGCTTGAGGCAAGATTAAATACTCTTCTAGTCCTAAATATAAGACCCTTATACACATTAATATAAGGGACTTATATTTAGAACTGAAAGGGTATATAATCTACTTATAAAAAGTTTTCACGCGGTAAGGCTATAAAAACATTTGCACAGGAGAATTACTTTGCCACTTGTACAATCACGTCTTCGTTTAACTAGGAGGTGTTTGAATAAGCTTTGAAAAAGTGATTTTATTAAGTATGTGAAAAAAAAAAAAATTGTCTCAATTTTTTATAAGCTGTTCGTTTATATTTTGAATAAAAACACACTTTCACTAAAAAGAAAAAAAACTTTTTCTCAACTTGTGTGAAAGTTTTTTTAAGTGCCTGTAGGTGTTTCCAAACAACCCACATTCGTCTACTTCTTCGGTGCTTGGAGTATGCTCGGGAAGTGTTTGAGAGGTAATTTTGACTGGATTACTAGAAGCATATCATCAACAAGTGATTCATAACTTTTGTAGACAGACTGAAAGAATATTAACAGTTTATAGTGCTCCGATGAATCAATTCTAATAAAAACATGAGCAGATCAAAGTTCTTGATCTAGAATCAGTCTAGTGAACAAGCTTTGGACCCACATCCTCATGTTCCCATCCAACTTGGTGCAGATTAAAATGTGATCCAATTCATAGGTAATTTAACAGTACTCTTAATTTCACACTCGCTTTTTGTTGTCTCTGCTCGATGAGCTTTTCTTTTTCCCCGGCATCTAACAAACTTAGTGGCAGTACTGTCTGCGACACGTGATTTTGTCACAAATGTTGACATGCTTGATGCGCTAAATGTGTTATCCAAAGACACAATATGGATCTGGAAACTAAAAACAAGGTCTCTGCCTTTTTGCTAAGCAGGAAGTCCTTGAAACTAATAAAACCCCTCTTCTTCGCCCCATTTTCCGATGGTATACAGCGAAGAACGTCAGAAATTTGGGACGCCAATCTCGGCGCTTCTTTATTCTGCTTTCTCTAAATCAATAAAGCAAGTGGGGGCACAGAAATGGAACACCCAACAATGAAATGAAAAGAAAGCTGAAACATTTCTCTCACTTTTTGCGACATCATGCACAACTATATAATAATAGTACTGATGAACACTCTACACACACAAAGGCTGAGATTTAGTAATTGTGCACCCCCACCATTCTTATAAATAGCTTATCAGGTTTTTAACCCCCCCCCCCAAAAAAAAAAACACCAGAAGACAAACAAGGGGAATTAATATATCATTGTATACTGATCCATGTGGTGGAATTGAAGTTCAGACAATAATTAATGAACTGGGTCACTTTGGAAGTTGGGGGGTGCAAATTGCGGGGAAGAAAAAAACAAAGCGCTTTGCTTCCTCATGACTTAAAGTGGACTCCTCTTTTTTAACCACACAGGAAAAGGGAGGAGGAGGCAAATTAAATCAAATAATGACTTGCTCTTTATTGGTGAGAGCCTCAAGGATTTGTCGAAAACAGAATAATGCATGTTCATTCAGCACAGTGAAAGATTCACAGATCAACTTATATTGCCTATTCACGGTCAGTGCCTCTGTGGTCCATGTCTCTTGAGTTAAATTCAAAAGAACAAAAGACTCTTGATAATATGAACCTTTAGAATAGGCAGGCAAAGAAAGAAAAGCCCGAAGTTACCAAGAAATCACGTAAAGTTAGTCACCGTGAATTCTTCTGCATCATTCTCAATCCCTTCTTTCTGATCTTTATAGTTTAATCTGGAGGGATATGCGGTATGCTCATCATCGTCCAAATCTCGTCACATCGGCCATTGCTGCACATGGACATAATGATATTATGAATAGCTAACGCATGCTAGTTTTTTTAGTCATCGTCGATTCATCGTTACAATATGCACAGTGTCTTTTTGGCTTCATAAGTCAGTAAGTTTGAAGAATGACTTTACCGTAAAAGGACGTCCATTAGTTTCCCCGGCTCGACATTGCGGTAATCAGAAAGTTTCATGATTATTTAGGTTTAATCTTGCGCATGCCGTGGTCCAATTGATTAATATGAAGCCAAAGTCAAAAAGGACTTTGGTTTGAGAAATATTAAATAGTAATCTTAGATCACACATAATTCACTAAGCAGCATATATTTATATGGGAGTGAGTAATGCTGGAGTAATGGAATTCTAACATGGTACCATAAAGATTAAAGAGAAGGAGGATCAAGCAACGTACCAAACTTCTTTTTCTGTGTTTTTTTTTTCTTTTTGCAGAAAAGGGCAAAAGAAAAGCAAGATCTTGATGCTGACTTGACTATTTATCTTTTTTTTTTTCATGGCTGAATAACGGTAATCATGAGCATAAACATACCTTTTTCCAAATCCCACACCAGCTGCCACCTTTAATCATCACATTCCCTCTGTCATTAATTACCAGTCCATTGAATCATAAGAACCAATCCTCACTCACACACACCCTTTAATCATGTCACATCCTCCCTCTATCCCCTTTGAAAATTGAAAATTCTTCGTTTTTTTTGTCTTTGCTTTGAGGTGATGAAAAAGACTTGAATGTCTCTGCTCTGCTCTTTCTTTTGATTTTGAAACAACAATGGCATCAATTCTCCTTCCTGCCTGAATCCAGATTCCGGAGCTATTGCTCGCCATAACATGAACAAGCCTTACGCATTAAACCTGGCTTTCGCCTTCGCCTTCACTTTGGCTTTCCTCTGTTTTACAACGTCTCTGTGTTCAGCTCAGAATGACACCCAAGTGCTTACTCTGTTCCGCCTCCAGACCGACGCTCATGGCTATCTCCTCTCTAACTGGACCGGAGGCGACGCCTGCTCCCCCACCTGGCGCGGCGTCTACTGCTCCCCCAACGGTCGAGTCGTCGCCCTTTCTCTCCCTTCCCTCAATCTCCGAGGACCTATTGACTCGCTCTCATCGCTTGTGCACCTTCGCCTCCTTGACCTCCACGATAATCGTTTAAACGGCAGCATTGCGCCTCTCTCCAACTGCAGCCGCCTCAGGCTCCTTTACCTCTCTCACAACGACTTCTCCGGCGAGATTCCGCCGGGAATAGCATCTCTTAAGCATCTACTGAGGCTTGACCTTCTGACAACAACATCCATGGTCCAATTCCCAACGAACTGTCAGCGTTAACTCACCTTCTCACGCTTCGCTTGCAGAACAATGTGCTCTCTGGGCAAGTTCCGGATCTCTCTGTTTCGCTCGTTAATCTCACAGAGCTCAATTTCACCAACAACGAGCTCTACGGACGCTTACCTGATGGAATGTTGAAGAAATTCGGCGACAGAACCTTCTCTGGGAACGAAGCTTTGTGTGGCTCAGCCCCATTCCCGATATGTTCCTTCACAGACGGCCCTCCTTCTGCATCACCGCCGCAGATAGTTCCTTCAAACCCAAGTTCGTTGCCTGAATCTCAAACAAGCATAATTGTCACACCCAAAACCCAACGGCGAAAGGGGTTAAGCCCCGGAGCTATAGTAGCCATAGTGGTGGCGAATTGCGTGGCATTGTTGGTGGTAACCTCTTTCATCGTGGCTCACTGCTGCGCAAGAGGACGAAGCTCAAACTCGATGATGGGAAGTGAAAATGGGAAGAGAAAAAGTGGCAGCAGTGGATCCGGAAGCGAGAAGAAGGGGTACGCCAATAATGGGGGTGCAGATAGCGATGGGACTAGCGGCACAGACCGAAGCAGGCTCGTGTTCTTCGACCGTAGGAATCAATTTGAGCTGGAGGAATTGCTGCGAGCATCGGCGGAGATGTTGGGAAAAGGAAGCTTGGGAACGGTTTACAAGGCGGTGCTTGATGACAGTTCTACTGTGGCGGTGAAGAGGCTTAAGGACGCAAACCCATGCGCCAGGACTGAGTTCGAGCAGTACATGGACATCATCGGAAAGGTCAAGCACCCCAACATTGTCAGATTCAGAGCATATTACTATGCCAAAGAAGAAAAACTTCTTGTCTATGATTATCTCCCCAACGGAAGCTTGCATTCTCTTCTTCATGGTCAGTCTTCGTTTTGAATTCATAAATTTTGGTTTTTGGACGTATAGACCTCCTCCGTCTTTCACTCCAGGATTTATTGTAACGCGGGGATTAAAATAAATTAAACATACTATTTTGATTAAGAAAGATAATCATGCTGGTGTTAAGGGGTTAATTGGTATAAAAATAAATTAGGAAATAGCAAAGCGCCAAGAAGAGTTCAAATGACATTCCAATCCTTAATTTTCACTGTTTCTTGGTCAATGACAGGAAATCGAGGTCCGGGAAGAATTCCACTAGATTGGACCACAAGAGTAAGCTTGGTGTTAGGTGCGGCAAGAGGGCTGGCTCGTATTCATGCAGAATACAATGCAGCAAAAATACCTCACGGAAACGTCAAATCTTCGAACGTGCTTCTTGACAAGAACGGCGTCGCTTGCATCTCCGACTTTGGCTTGTCCCTATTACTAAACCCTGCTCACGCCATTGCAAGATTGGGCGGATACAGAGCACCAGAACAAGAACAAGTGAAGAGGCTGTCTCAGCAAGCAGACGTCTACGGTTTCGGAGTCCTACTGTTGGAAGTTCTCACAGGCAGAGCTCCTTCGCAGTACCCTTCTCCGACCCGACCCTCGGTCGACCAAGAAGAACAGGACGTGGATCTTCCCAAATGGGTTCGTTCCGTCGTGAAGGAAGAGTGGACAGCGGAAGTGTTTGATCAAGAACTGTTGCGTTACAAGAACATAGAGGAAGAGCTGGTTTCAATGCTGCATGTGGGGTTGGCTTGTGTGGCTTCACAGCCAGAGAAGAGGCCAACCATGGCGGAAGTGGCTAAGATGATAGAGGAGATAAGGGTGGAACAATCTCCATTAGCAGAGGACTATGATGAATCGCGTAATTCACTTTCACCATCCCTCGCGACCACCGAAGATGGCCTCCCTTGACCGTATTTTGCTTTGGCATACATGCTACTCTACTTACGTCCCCGTTTCAGTACTACTCCTCACTGTTAGGTTAGCCGTTGCATAATCTCGCTGCACATCACTCATGGACTTCGCTAGATCCTCCGAATTGTGTCAATTTATGTGTTCTTTTGCCAAAATTTGCCAGCTGTGTACTTGAAGGGTTGCGTGTAGAAAAATCTGATAATCTTGTGTTTCAGGTTAGAATAAGTATTATTTACTTGAATTGTACAATCTATATTTGACGTTTGCATCGGTCTGGAAGACATAACTTGCTTAATTCTATGGCTCAAACGGTTACATTCTCAGAACTTAGAAGCAGCTCACTTTCATGCTAAAGAGTCGGTACCATTCCAGTTTTACCCGTCAGTGGCCCTTGAATTGCTTTCCAATGTTACAGGACCCGAACAATCGTTTACGTTGAGTTTACTGAAAACTTGTTTCGGTTTCACGTCTTTCGACGACTCGCCCCTTCATTCTAAAACCCGTTGGCATTACAATGTGCTCATCTTCTACTGGAATAAAAGGAAAAATGGACTAAACTGAAGTATAATAAACTCATTTGTAGGCCGAATTCGAGTCAAATTCATGCTCGCATATTCTAACAGGGTAATTACTACTATAATACCATAACACAACATCTAGGATCCACTTAAAAATACACATGTATTATTATTATTATTATTATACAGAAGCACATATTATTACAACCAGTCAACCATGCTACCTATAAATAGGGTGTCGCCAATGTTTCTGCTGCCTCCAACCCACTCTGCAACAGCTTCACCACACACAACCTGTCCAATTGTGATATATTTCTTTAATAGGCTCCTCACCAGCTTCACTCGAGTCAACATTATTTGCTCCAGTTTAACTAGTAATATATGTTAAATTATCAGCTCATGGATCCGGTTTGGTCAATTAGTGTACCGACTTGTTCTCCGCACAAGGCTTTTGAGATGTTCCCAGGCTCCAGGAGATTAAAAACCACAACTGTAAAAGAAACCCAGTAAGTAGAGAAAAGGCCGCTGTCTTACTTAAAAATGAGGTTTGAGTGCTTGAAAACTTCAATTTAATTGCTAAAATGTAAGCCAGGGCAATCCATCAAAACCAAAAAGATAACCTTAAAATATCAAGGGCAACATACTAACCAGGAATAGCATTTTCCTCACAGAATGTCAGTGCCGTCATATCCATAGAGGTGGCACCTCTTGAAACCAGCTCCCTGAAGGAAATGTGCTCAAAGGTGAAATTGCCATCCCGGGAGTTGCAGTCATACACACCGTCTACATTAGTACCCTTGAGAACAGCCTCCGCATTAACTGCAGATTAAAAGGAAATTATGCTAAAGCTAACAAAAATTGCAGAGATGCATGTGTTGTCTTTCTTTGTGGAGGAGTGAAGGAGAGATGACGCAGAAAAATAAAGATGTAAAAAATCTAATATGGCATACTCTCAGAAGCTCGAAGAGCTGCAGCTATATCAGTTGAAAAGAGTGAATTTCCAGTGCCAAAACCAATGCCGCCAAATATAACAACTCTGCCTTTCTCAAGATGTCTAATGGCCCGCTGCCTATTGTATGGTTCAGCAAATTCATGCATGGCAATGGTAGTTTGTACACGAGTTTGAACGCCCATCTTCTCTAGAGTTGATTGGAGTAATATAGAATTCATCACAGTAGCCATCATGCTGGAAAAGTTCAAGAACCCACAAGTTCAGATCCCATTGACATTATAACAAAGAACAATTACAGTGAATTATCTTATTAGAAAATATCAGAATCATACACATAAAACAGGTCTTTTCATGGCAAGATAACCGATGCGCTCAAGGCCAAGAAGGCACCAGTCTGTACATTACCCTATTTGCAAGGCGGAAAGAATATGCTAGCATAAAACCATCAGCTAACCTTAAAGTTATAGCAAAAAATGAAGCACAAACACCTACAAGGTACGTTTCTTTGACATTTATATTAGACATGGCAAGTGATTAAATTGCACATATATACTTCATATTTTTTTCATAATGCAGTGTCCTTATTGGTGACTTGTTTCCTTGTCAGTGGGCAAATTTCCCATAGTAAATCTTGTTCTTTGGCGTTCCAATGAACCACACAAGGTAGGTTCTCTAGAACTGCTGTTAATGTAGCCCTCAGCAGCCAAAATTTCTTATTTGTTGTCCTTGGTCATTACAACAAGTAATTAGCATAGAACAGCATAATGAGACTTACATCTTGATAGCAATGTGCTTTGTCATAGTCTTCTTGATAGATGCCAAAGATATGTAATAAACGGTATGTTACAGAGTAAATTTGAAAAGAACATACCCAACTTGGTATGCAGTACATCTTTCTAAACCAGTGGCAGTTACCCATGCATCTCCACAGAAAAAGTTACGACCTCCAACAACAATGGCCACCTGAGATATCATATAGAAACGAAATTGTCAGCTAAATGAAAAAGAACAGCAGGCATCCCAGAATTCAAAGGACCATCAAGAGAATACAGTACCTCCACACCGTTGCGAGAGGCTATGGCAACTTCTTTTGAAATTAACGTGGCCACCTGGCAATTAAAATTAACACGGAAAACAAACAAAATCAATTTAGTAGCAGCATCCAAAGAGAATGTTTAGACTATATCATTACTAGCTAAGAGGTTGAGTCAATTAGCGATGTCAAGCTTGGCAATTTCCATATATGAATAGCCAATTAGAACGATTATTTTCATTTGTAGAGGACATATAATTAGAAAAACCACAAACCTTTGGGTCAATATTGCAGGTAGCAGATCCAGTAAGAGCTGCTCCGCTAATTTTGAAGACTACCCTACGCCATCTAACATTTGACATTGGTTTTGACTTCAAGCTATTCAGCTGACCTCCACTGCTGGACATTGCGACTCCATATCTAAAAATTAAGAGGGGGCATCAGCAATATTAAAAAAGTTATAGATTCACAATCAACAAGAGAATAAAAGAAAAGAACATATATGGCAAAAATAAAATTGAATAAGTTATTGACTAAGATTCTCCCAACCATGACAAGCTGCACTGCAAAGTATCAATTTAGCACGAAATATTCTCAACTTTCCAAATCAAAGACCCCAAAGTTGATTATGTAATTACAGTGACCAAGCAGACTAGCAGATTCAGGCACAACAAAGATAACATATGTCCTCAAATCAGAAAATAAATACTACAATGGATATGAATAGCAGTTAAATACAAGCAGGCACAGAATCACTTATTTGCTATTGAATACACACTTGGCAGCAATCAAAACAACAAGAGAAACTAGGAAGCACCTTACAGATCTTGAGATCCTAAAGAACTTGGTGTCATGAGAATAAGTGGGATGAGGATAAGCAACTTAACCAAGCAGAATATAACTTCTACCTGCCTTGGATAATTAAATCATGCATTTTTCTGCAATTTAAGGACTGGATCTCAGACCTTGAAAAACCAGATCACAAGTCATCCTACTTCAGAAATAGTCATAGCGTCCTACTACATATAATAAACGATATGTCATGCATTCCGTAAGTTGCCCCGTTTAAAACCCCCAAAAGTGTTGCATTACCAAACGTGTGTGATTATTTAGGTAAATGGAAAGGAAAAAGTAAGTTAAATAGGATGCTTTTTATTGCCATATCTAAAATATTCGCTTTTCGCTGAATCAACTCAGAGACGGTGGGAGGCAACCGCGAACAAACTACTAGACCGCATGGAAAATGTATAATACAGACAAGTGAAGTTCTGCCCAGGATTTGGGAAGGCAAAAGATTATGGTTTCTAATCATATTGTTTACAAAGTTCTGAAAAATGGGATTCACTCAAAACGGGAAAGATGAAAATTCTGCAAGTAACCCGACTAAATAATAGCAACAGAACTTTTCAGCTGGTTCTGCTTGACGCTCCATGAAGGACCCTTCATGTGGCCTGGTTTCTAGACAAGAGGAACGAAACAAATCGCCAGTTCACATTGGCTCAGCGTTGTTAAATCTACATAAGCTTCCGCATACTGGTATCTAAAAGTCCAAACTTTTAGTATCAAAAAAAGAGAAGTCCAAATTTTTACCGCTCAAGTCATTGGTATGCTTATGATAACGTTGGGACAGAGGGCTCATCGCAGGGAAAACGTCAGCATGAAAGAAATCTCAACGGCAAGGCATCACAAATACGCACGCAACTGGGCACTAGCAAGCAAGAAATCAGTTTATCGTACCTCTTCGGTTGTCTCGGCGAATTCCCCCAGAACCGATCCCCTTGTCTTCATCCTGCACATACTTTGTAGATAGCGAATTGCCAACGATCTGTTCCATCTGCTTGAACCAAGGCCAATGACTGGCTGAAATGCAGCCATTGCTCATCCTATGCCTTTCCAACTTATACCTCTTCTTCAAATTATCGACTTTATTCTTGCATTGCTCCACACTCTTGGTTTGATTTTCGCACCGCTCACTAACTATTGACGCCACTTCCTCCCAATCCCTCCCTCTAAGGTTCCCGCGATTCAGCTGAGTGAACTTCTCTGTATAAGCCTCAAGCAGGCAAACAATCGCGGCGTCGCTCCACTCCTCCCTATCCTTCCTATACTCCCCGCCGTTCGAAAGCTTGGGCCTTTTGTATCCGTACGACGTCGTACCGTCGCCGGCCTCCTCCCGATCAGTTCGCTTGTCGTTGTCGTCGGCCTCGTTATCAAATCCATAGACTTCGCTGGTGTCACCTACCGGTTCCGACGGCACAGGCGTGACGGCGGATGAGAAGGAATGCGGTGCGTAGGTTTGGTGAAGGTGGTGGTGGGGGCCAGCGCTTGATTGGTGATGATCGTCACTGAGGAGGAGAAGTCGTCGTCGTCGCAGGAGGCCATAAGAGAGGACGTTACGGTTAAGGTCAAGGATCGTGAACGACGACGTTAGGGAGAGAGAATCCAACGTTCAGAGGCGCAGTGGGGGAGACATTCACGGAGCGCTCTTCCGTGAGTGGATCTGCTATTCGCCCTGACGGTCCCGTTAAGTGACTGGAAGCTCAGATCTCGCATCAGCCTACCAGTTCACACGCGCGAGAGCGTGCCATTTTTTTTCCCACCTCTCCAGAAGATGGAATTACTGTGGTGTTCGTGTTGCACACGCACAGGAGAAAATTTAAGATAAATCATAATGTATATAACTTATTAATTTCAAAATAAAATAAAATTTATTTGACAAGGTATATCTTAACAAATTTTTACCAATGCATTTGGTGAAATTAACTTATAAAGATGTCATAGATGTCAACATCAATACTTTACAAAATCATAAAACATTGC